AGATTTTCTCCACGAGAAAGAATAACATTCAGCATTTCTATCAAATAAATTTTCTGTTCGGAACTTGACTTTTAATTGCAATGCATTATGTTCTATAGGCAGATGTACCGATGTCAACTCGCATGATATTCATATTTCACACACTGGGATGCACAGCACAGCTGTTCATGTTTACTTACAGCTGTGATTGTATAATGAAAGACAGTGGGAATGTTGCTACAGCAATGTACGCGACTACATGGTCCTACCTGCCGATGGACAATAACGGAAGAGCGTTACGAAAAGACTTGATACTTGCGATTTTGTATTCCGGAGTACCTTGCTGCCTGACAGCCCATAAATTCTTCCCTGTATCTCTAGAAACGTACACTGGGGTAATTTATATCATCTTCTTGCTGTTTCTTATATTGTTGCACCCAACTGTGATTTCCCTGTTCAACATTGGTATCGTTTAACCGTTCGTTTTACTTCTTACAGGTAATGAGTACCGCAGTGTCATACTTCACACTATTGAAGCAGCGAACCTCAGAAACGACCTAAGTGTGTCCACGTGTTATCCAATCCGTACATGCATAGATTTCTGATTAAAATAATGTGAATTATTTACATTTGTTACATACATGAATAAAAGAATATTCAAAGGAACATATATTTGGTGCTATAGAATGTACGCTTGTTTTTTGGTACGTAATGTCAGATTTTCACTTTTGCGTATAGATAGTCTTTTATATACGTAGCGGACCTACCTGACCGCAAGGCGGTCACGATGGTGGTCACTTATGGAAGCAGGAGAATGTTATTTCTATTTAGAGTTTAATCTTTTGAATATACTATGTACATATACAGAGTGCCACATCTAAAATAGCCTACCTGAGTATCTCTTTCAAATATGGTAGTACAACAAATATTTTTATAGCTTATATAATTCAAATTATATTTATTATACTTGCTGTATAAGATGATACACAGGAAATCTCCTTGATATTGAGCCTTGCAGCTCGGTTGAAATCCTGGAACTGCAACTGGAAATGTCTATATATTTCAAGTACTCTTAAGGACCTCCCTGCAACTAAATTATTGTAATTGAAATATCTTCTGCTTATAATAATTATATCTGCCGAATTAACTACATATATAAACACCGGTTTATTATGATCAATTAAACTTCATATCTTCAGGATCTTCACTCTCACTTCTTTATTTGATAAACGTCTAGCTATGCATTCTTCTATCAACGATCTACCACCAACAATCGCAAAATATCCTGCAGATAGTAAAGGTAGCCCTTTACTAACGTTAAACTGCTTATTTCGCAAATCCATGTACGATAGTGAGTCATTAGTGGGCCTCACAGGAAACTAAAATGTTCCCTTATTCATGCATAACTCATCGACTCTATGCATTTTCCCTAGGTTTGAAAGTAGCAATTTCGGTAGCAGTATTTAATAACAGAGCATAAGTAGCTAAAAGAAAAAGTATACAATCTACGAACGATGTTACAAGATCAAAGGCCAGATGGTATTGATTTCTTCGAGTAAACTTCTACAATTCATGCGTATGATCTGTATAGAAGTTTCAAGTGGGAACTTTTATTTCGATTTTGTGCACAGTAAAGATGTTTCCATTGCTTCATTGCATTCTTTGCATACCATCGCCATTTATTTCACGTGCAAATGTATATGAACCTACGTTCTCAGTTTACTTTAGGTCCTTGCTGTTCTTTACGGTTACATAATCTCTTTTCCAATGTGTGATGTCAACGTTTACCTAAACACCCACAACATTCGTAATCCTAACATGTGTGCACGTAGACAGTGTATCATTGAGTAAGATGTCTAAAAAAGTAAAAGAATTACGCCAAGTACATGAAAAAGTGAAGGACTCAAGGAGTTATTATAGAACAATAGAAGATCCCTATTAAAAACTACAAGAAAATAGAAAAAGATGTGAAATCGAAATAAGCTGCCAGTACATGAAGGTGCTTTCCAGCAAAGTGCAAAGGCGACACTGTATAACACAATGTAAAATTCAGTGCTTTCCAACTATGCGCAGCTAAAATGCTGTGTTTAACAGTGCTAACGTTCAGATCCTAATGACAACTCATGTAAAGTGACTGTTCCTACCATCAGGAGTGTAGCGGTATTTTTGTAGCTATAGTACGGGCTTAGCAACCCCGTGGTAACCGAGCTAGAGGGGGGTCAGCGGCCTCCAATAGATGAGAAGTAAGAGATACTGCATACAGTATTAAAACAATGTAGGAGTCATGTAAGGCGATGATTAGAAGAATGGAAATAAGCTAGTAATAAGTAAGCAGTAGTGCAATACTACTAGTTGAGTAGTACAATATCTTTGTATCTCGACGTCAAGTTCATGAAAAATTATACAACCACCCTGTATAACGTGGCGCTACCGCTTATATCTTTTGCAGGAGAGATGATCCATTCCAACCTAACTGGAAACTTCTTTCATTAATATCTCATCACGCTGGCAATAGTTTCTAAATTTAAACGCATTTTTCTTATGTAAATCGCATATAAGCTTTCGAATAAAACCAAAATCAATAAAATCGGTTCACGTACAACTGAGATATCGTAATATCATGTCACGATACATCCAAAAATATTACCGTCTTATACTTTCCCAGTCGATTTTTCGTGAACCCTTAGCCAATAGGAGCTAAGGCCGTTCGTCGATTCGTCGACTCTTGGAATCAGTCGGCAGGGCTCGTCTGCCAGAATTGTAATATGGCTGCCGCTCACGCCACTCGTTCATTTCTAACCTGTATAACCTGTCAGTTTGTATTGGTGACATTTGGACGCCGCAAATTGAATAATTATTTTAAAGGCTACGTGTAGTGATATTGTATTGGGAAGTATATGGTTATAAGTGATAAAATATCTATCTTGTCGTTGTGGAAAGAAATATATAAATTTGGTGTTTGAGTGTGCAGTTGAGTGTGCAAGAAATTTAAATGTTAAAGATTAAGCGAGAAATGAAATAAAATAATTTTTTGGAAACAAAATTTAACCGAATTCAAAACAGGTACAGTGAAAAGTATGAAATAATTTCTAGTTAATTTATATGAATATGCGCTAGCTCTAGATGTAATTCCTTAAAAGTACGGGAAAATGCAGTAAAAAGTGTGAAATAATTTCTATTTAAACTGCATTGTTATTTACCATCGTTTGATGAATTTGGTTAAATTATTAAATACACCATATTAGATACAATGCACCTTTTTCGGAGGCGGCGCAGATGTAAAAAATTTTTAATTATGGTTTGGGTTAGCTTTTGGCAGAGGCGGCAATATTGAATGCTGTCAATGTATACATGTTTATTGTCTATGAGGAATTAATAGTTAATGTATATAGTATGTACACGGAAATATAGTGTGAGTAGATTTGGGGCTTTTTTGGAGGGGAGTGGCGGCCATATTGATTACTGCTAATGTATAAACTCTCCACATGGAAATACTGTATGAATAGGTTTGAGATACTATTTGGTGGTGGCGGCGATATGGAACAGTGTTAATGAATATGATGTCTAAAGCGGAGATAGTAATAGCAATAATTAATGTCATATTTTTTGTTCCTCGAACAGAAAGTTAAACCAAGTTTGATAATATTTAATTTTGGGGATAGCTGGGACGATGCTGAACTACGATTTTGTTTGCAAAAATTTCGAATGGTGTCGAATATTAACGAAAACGAAGCACTATCCGCAAAGGAAATTGTGGTTCAGAATTGTCTCAGCTACACCCCATTTCCGGTTCTTACACTAATTCAACGACACTCTGTATACTCTACCCATAGAAATACTGTCTGAATAGGTTTGGGATAGTACTTTGTGGCGGCGGCGATATTGAATAGTGTTAATGAATATGATGTCAAAGTGGATGCAATGATAGCAATAAATAAAGACCATATTTTTTGTTTCTCCGACAGAAAGTTAAACCAAGTTTAGCAATTTTTAATATACTTAATTCTAAATTTTGCGCGCCTCCGAAAAAGGTGCATTGCTTTTATTATGATGTATTTAATTATTTATCCAATTTCATCAAACGATGGTGAATAACAATGCAGTTTAAATAGAAATTATTTCACACTTTTCACTGCATTTTCCCATACTTTTAAGGAATTATATCTAGAGGTAGTGCGTATTCATACACATTAACTAGAAATTATTTCATGCTTTTCACTGCATTTTCCCATACTTTTAAGCAATTATATCTAGAGCTAGTGCGTATTCATATATATTAACTAGAAATTATTTCACACTTTTCACTGTACCTTTTTTAAATTCGGTTAAATTTTTTTTCCAAAATATTATTTTATTTCACTCTTTTTAGTGGCAATTTATAACCAATAGGTTCCATGCAATAACAACAGTTATAATCAATATACAGGATGACCCAAAAACGTTGGTGGTCCTTGAAAAGACTTGTTCCGCCGGGGAGGGGGGGTTGAAACAATTTTTCCTTAGCGAAAATGTTGCTCGATGCTTCGCGGGGCCTACGCTACCACAGGCGCTCCACCGGCATACTCGCGCTCTGATTTGTCGGGGGTTTCTGTCAATGTCTCCTTAACGAAGCCTCGAACCACATTTTCATTAAGAAAATATTTCTCTCCGAAACACCCCATTCAAGGACATCCAACATGAAATGTGGAATGTTCCATCGCGCTCGGTAATTTCCTCACCGAGTTACATCATATAATAGGAATTTTGCAATAACAATAGTTATAAACAATACAAAAATTCATAAATTTTTGCATCTGTGATCATTGCGAAAACCTCTCCGACAGCAGAATGTAAGGGGTTTCATCGATTTCATCGGTTTCAGGCCAAACTACGTGAAATAGTACGCTTTTTGCGATAAAAAGTGATATAAAATGGTAAAAAATAAGACAAGGACAAATGTTTTGCTGTAGGACCAAATGGCTAATGCTCTTCCAGATGCAAGAAGTTTCAATATGATTGGTCCATCCGTCCCGGAGTAAAAAGCAAGACAAAATGTTTCTGTTTAAAAAAAAAAAACGGGTAAAAAGTGACAAATCACAAAATGTTTATTTTACGCGACCAACTGGAAGAAATATTCGACAAGATGCAAGAAGTTTCACTCCGATTCATTAAGCCATCTCGACGTAATCGGCAAACATACCTAGAAATCACGATTTTTTGGTAAAAATATGGGTAAAAAATGACAAATCGCAAAAGTCTTGACAGCAGGATCACCGGGGGAACATGCTCTACAAGATGCAACAGGATTCATTCCGATTGGTCAAGCCATCTCGGCGTAATCGGTGAACAGACATTTAAAAAAAATATATATATATATATATACATGTCGAATTGAGTAACCTCCTTCTTTTCGAAGTCGGTTAAAAAAGAAATCAACTATTTGTAACGCACAATTTACTGTATTAGAATACAATGCATACGTTTAACAGAACCCGTGGCAGAAAGTGTTGTAAGTGACACTGTGTAACACAATGTGAAATTCGGTGCTTTCCAACTATACGCAGCTAAAATGCTGTGTTCAACAGTACTAACATTCAGATCTTAATGACAATTCATGTAAAGTGACTACTCTGCTGTTTGGCGGTGAAATGAAGAAGCTAAATAGCGTACCATCCACAA